TACACCTCTATTGAGAGGAGATAATTGTGGATCATGGAGTCGTGAAGTAACAATGGCACTTCGTGCAAAAAGCAACCTTGGTTTTGTTGATGGGTCACTCCCAATTCCAAAGAAGAAAGATTGTGTTCCCAACTAGGAGCTCCATAAGATTTGGTTGGAAGTCGGATTCTTAATTCTATATCACCTGAAATCCGTCCAAGCATCTCGGATCTGAAGGATCATTTTTCTCAATCAAATGCTCCTAAAATTTATCAGTTGAAACAATCAATTTATGCCCTCAAGCAAGAAGGCATGTTTGTTTCATTATATTTCACACAACTTAAATCTTTATGGGACAAACTCAATTCCATTATCTCTGTCACTCCATGTACATGTGGTAATGCTAAAAGTATTGTTGATCAACAAATCAAGATCATGCAATGGAGTTTCTCCAGGGACTCCATGATCATTTTTCAGCTATTCGCAGTCAAATTCTCTTGATAGAGCCATTTCCCTCAATTCAACATATCTACAATTTGGTTCGACAAAAAGAAAAACAACAAGCGATTCATATTGGTACAATTCCTACCGTTGATTCAAAAAGGCTATAGGCGTCTAAACCACCTTTTCGTCCTGCCAAAAAGCGCCAACGTCATTTTTGTGAACATTTTAACAAGCATGGTCATACTCTTAGTACATGCTACCAGATTCATGGTTTCCCATATAAGCCGGTAAAAAAATTAGGCACATCGCCATCTACTTCCGCTACTTTTGCTAGGTGACGCCTGAACAATATAACAAGCTTCTTACACTTCTAGCCAAGAGGATTATGGTGGATCATGAGTCCATTTGGCAAGTACAACTGTTACTTGTCTATCCTCTGGTTGGATTATTGATTTAGGTACTTCTAATCATATAAGTATGTCTCTTTCATTTTTTTTCTTTATATTCGACAGTTCATACAAGTGTATCAGTTCAATTGCTTGATGGTTCTCAGGCGTCTGTTACACACATATGCACCATTCGTTGTTCATCATCACTTACTCTCACGAATTGTTTCACATTTCATCATTTCGATTCAATTTATTATCTATCTCAAAATTAACAAAGTCAACAAATTGTGATGTTATTTTTTCATTCTCTTAATGCATATTTCAAGACCGAGCAACGAAGAAGAAGATTGGTCAAGGCAGTGCTCGAAATGGTCTTCTTCTTTTTTTATCTAAATGCAGATATAGATTTTAATTCTTCTTTTTCTTTCAAGCATTGTAATAAATTTGACATATGGCATTCTCACCTTGGTCATCCTTCTAGGTCTCATTTTGAATTCATTGTTAAAAATTCTCTAATTATAGTTGCAAATGAAGATTTTATTTGTGATGTATGTATGTGCGCTAAACAATCACATCTTTCTTTTTCAAAGTATAGCTTGTTCTTCTCATTGCTTTCAATTAGTTCATGTTGACATTTGTGGTTCTTTCTTTATATCTTCTAAAAATGGATCATGTTTCTTTTTAACTATTGTCGATGATTATTCAAGGTGTACATGGATTATTTAATGAAACATAAATCTTAAACTTTCAACATATTAATTCATTTTTTTAATTTAATCAATCCTCAATTCAACACAAAATTGCTCGTATTAATTCTAGTAATGGAGACATTTTTCTTTCTCAACTCCAAACCATTCGTTCTGACAATGGTTCTGAATTTTTTTCTGAACAAATTCAATCATGGTTTCATGAAAATGAAATTATTCACCAATGTACTTGCGTTGCGACCCCCCAACAAAATGGCATTGTAGAACGTAAGCATCGACATCTACTTGATATTGCTAGAGCTCTATGATTTCAAGCTAACTTGCCTCTTTCTTTTTGGGGTGAAAGGATTCTCACTGCTGCCTTTCTTATTAACAAACTTCCAACTCCAATCTGTAAATATAAATCACGTCATGAAGTAATCATACTTCATTCTCAATTGATTTTCCACTAGCAAATTATTTTTTATTTATCCCATGTAAGCCATTCTCATCATGTCTTTCTAACTAATATCATTGAAAATCAAGAACCAACATCTTACTCTCGAGCCATATAAAATCTAACGAATGGCGTGATGGCATGGCCAAAGAGATTTAGGCCCTTGAATCAAACAACATTTGGTCTTTATACTCATTTCCTAAAGGAAAATCACGAATTGGTTGTAAATGGGTCTACAAAATTAAATATTGGTCTGATGGTTCTATTGAGAGATATAAAGCTAGTTTAATTGCCAAAGGTTATACTCAAGTTGAAGGCATCGATTATCCTGATACCTTTGAACATGTGGCCAAACTAGTTACTATTCGTTTTCTTCTCTCCATTGGTGCTACTAAAATTGGTCATTGTACCAACTTGATGTCAACAAAGCTTCTCCAAGGAGATCTCAAAAAAGGTGTACATGAAACTCCCTTCAGGATTTTCTCATAAGGGAGAAACTCATATATGTAAATTAAATAAATCTATGTATGGTCTTAAATAGGCTTCTCATCAATGGCACTCCAAATTCTCAACTACTCTTATTCGTTGAGGTTTTCATCAATCTATTTCAGACTACAATCTTTTTACTTATATTCATAATTAGACTTCTATTTTTGTTCTCGTTTATGTTGATGATATCATTATCGCCGGAAATAATGATGGTGTCATTTCTCACATAAAAAAATTTCTAGCTTTTTATCAATAAAAGATTTTGGCAATCTACGATATTTTTAAGTATTGAAGAGTCTCGCTTTAAACAAGAAAATTTATTATGTCAACGAAAATATACTCTTGACATATTATCTGATTCTGGTATGATTGGTTCTCGACCATCAGATTTTCGTATGGACCAACATCTTCGATTAAGATCAAAAGATGGTACTCCCCTTCCCGACCAAATACTCTATCGTCGACTCATGTGTCATCTTTTATATCTCACTGTAACACGACCTGATACTCAATATGCTATAAATACTCTTAGTAAATTCATGCAATCTCCATATTCCACCCATCTTGATGCTGCCAATCAAGTTCTTCGTTATCTTAAATGGACAATTGGTAAAGGTTTATTCCTTTCTACATCTAGTTCTCTTACTTTAGTCGGATATACTAACTCTGAATGGGCTGATTGTCCTACGACTCGTAGCTCCATTACTAGTTATTCTACCATGTTAGGTTTTAGTCCTATTTCTTGAAAAACCAAGAAACAACCAACAATTTCTCATTCTTTTGCAGAAGCAGAATATCATTCCCGTACAGCACTTACTTCTGAGTTGCAATAGTTAAAATATCTTCTCTCGGATCTTGGTATTAATCATCTACAAGACTACAACCAATTCCAATTCATTGTGATTGCCAAGTTACCATTCACATTACTGAAAATCATGTATTCCACGAATGCACTAAATATATTGAAATTGACTGTCATTTTGTTCAAGAAAAGATTCAAACAAATCTTCTTGGTTCTTCCTTCTTACAATCTAACGATCAATTGGCTGACATTTTTACCGAGCCACTTGGAGGTGATGCTTATCGTTGACTACTTTTCAAGTTGGGTGTTTTTGAAATTTCAATCCCATCTCCAACTTGAGGGGGGTTATTGGATGAAGATAAAATGTCGTAAATTTTAAACTTTTAGATTAGAGTTATCAGTTTTATATATCTTGTAAATTTCAATCTTTTAGATTTTAGAGCTATCAATATTTTATCTTTGTGAATATCTGAATCTCGTAATTTCGCCTATAAATACAAGGTAATTGAATGAAATATACATACAGTTCACAAAAATATTTCCTTCTCATTTTCGTGTTAACCATTTTCACACATTTGGACAGAACATAGTAATTGTTACCAGGTGATCTTCTCACAGTCAACCCTATGTTCCTGTGGACTGTTTCGTCTCGAAAAACCATTATTTTTGCCCGTACGACCTTTGTTTTGGTTGTACAATTGGACGATCTTGGCAGGCAACATAAATTTTTACGTGACTAAATAATGTATAAGTTCACATTGTAAAAATGCCACTATTTACTTGAAAAGTAAGTTTTGTTAGTTACGGGCATGTATAAACTTAAAAACCAGGGTTACGATCATTAAAAAATCAAAATCAACAATTTGAACGAATCTGCAGCAAGGGTTTCCAATCCTTGCAGAGATAACATCCCATGATCAATACCAAAGGTAATTCACCAACATAAGAACACTCAAGGTCGATGATGATTTATTTTTAGTAGCTAAGAACAAGGATTGTTCATTGAGTGTGGAAAGAGCTAGTCAACAACTCTATTCTGTAATACACAAAGAATTCCATAAATTATCCAATTTCGTACTTAGATGCAGTGTGGTGAACTGGTGATGCTGCTGCTCTTGATATTGGTACGTAATATGTGAAGTATTTTGTAATTCATATTGGCAAAATAAAAAAAAAAATAGTAAATAGGATGATTCTTTCGTACTGTAAGAATTTATTTGTACGAGTGGAAGAAACCAACATAAAAATATAAAATTTATTGGATGCATTGTAGTTAGTTAAACTTAATAAACACAGTATTAAACACATTCAGACACGTACATGTAATCTGATGTACTTCTCAGAAAAGATTCAGCAAAAACTAAGGCTGTTGAAGACATACATTATGTTCTTCGGTTGATCATATTCACTAATAGCTTAATGCACAAAAATAAAAATTTGTATTTCTTCTATAGTGATGTACACAAAAACTTAGATTTGAAGTGAAGGCAAAAGTTCTAAAGAAATTTTGGAATCAAACTGCAACTATGTATTTTTAACTTCTATTTACCTTCCACAATACAAGGCTAAAGTACTACGAATCCAAAGTGCGTGTTTTGCATAAAATATAGATTTTTATAACCATTTTCTTAAAACTATCCATTTCTATCTAAGCTTAGCTATCAAATATGTTCCAAAAGTCGTCTTCAGTTGAGGGCGAGCAGGTGCTTCATTCTCTTCTATCTATATAACTAATAACCAATCCCTGAACTAACCTAAAAGTTGTCCTTGGCTTGGCAGATAGCGCCCAAGGCTTCTTCGTCACTGGCCAATTCAGGAATATTTAGTGACTGTCGGATCTCCCTAATTGAAGTGCGAAGGAATGGATTGCACAACTTCTCCTGCTTTAACGTCGTAGGGATCTAAGGCAAGTCAATGAAATAATATCAAAAAATAATATTTCACAAAAGTGATGGGGTACTATTACCCCCAAAAGAATGAAAAAAACAAAAACGTTCCATATCATTTTAATTTGTAACCTATAAATATGTGTTGCAATCATGATGAGGAGCTCCATATAGCATGTAGTTTATTTTATCGAACTGGGGATGCATATTCATATCAAGGACGAGAGTGGACAAAATCTTGAGGAACTTGACCAGCGTGTTTGGTTATGTTTTATAATTAATGATTAGCCAAACATGGCTGTGTAAATTAGCAATCATAAAACATTTTTAATATGAACCTTGAGGTGATAAATGCGCAGGCATTTTCATCACAGGAGCAGCAGTATGGTTCATACTTGCAGGAAATATTTCACCATAAACATCCAAGGAGAAAGTTGAAGAGCTATAGAAAATACCGTTGGCAACCCCTTGCTTCGGAGATGCACCACATGGGCAGCATAAGATTGCAGTTCTTCATTACCCAGTTCTATAGATAGTGCAAACTTCGAATTACTCTGCACAAAATCGCAATTTTAGCCTTCTTGAAGCTATCAGCTTGAAGATAAAATCAGTAAAAGAAAAATATCGAAATTTCAACCTTGCTTACCAATGTATATTCATGACCACAATATATTTTTGTATCCTCTGGCAGCAATTTAATCTTACTCAGGGAAGAAAACATCTGGTACAAAAAATGCATTACCATCATGACCTTTAGATCAAATCCTTTTCTTGGGGTTCTCTTTTTATTTTATTTTATTTTTTTTCGTGGCATATGTGTTAACCGTTGAGCATATCTTCTCCACAAACTTTTTAGAGTTCGCAAAAGAAATAACATCAGCATGCTAAATATCCCTATCACCTGCTCAGGAGTTCCATGCAAGAGCTTGCCACATGACAAGCTGAACAAAGTGTCTCCTGTAAAAATTGACTTTGATCCAGGGAAGTAGAAACTAATATGTCCTGCTCAATTTCAGAAAATGCCAAAGATTTAGACAGCAAGGTAGAACCAAATTGAGAAAAATATCAGAACAAGGCTACTTTATAGAAACCATTCGGGATAAATATAATTTTTTTCAGTGAAAGGCCTGTGAATTCCTCGAGAAATCCACACCAATATATTGATCCACACAATTCATCTCTCTCTTCTCGCTCTTCAGGTTTTTAAGCGATCTGATTTTTGTCCATCCTTGATTCTGTTCACCATCAAGTTTTTTTTTTTTGGGTCAGCAATGCACGGAAATATCTAGTTCTAGATATGACATATCCATATATGGAAACCATGCTATGCATTACCCCTAGATAGGTTGTGTCACATAGATATGCCCAGCTCTTGCTACTAAATATCAATAATTTTTTTCCTTTCTGAACTCTGATAAATGCCCATCTATAAGATGGTAGTGAGATGGAATGGGAAAGAAATGTCCGTTCCTACTTAAAGCCTTGTTTTTGAAGAATCTACCCCAAACCGGCCAGATACACTTGATTCCTAACCCACTTACCATGTGATTGATCACAAGCCAAACAATCACAATTAAAAAAGAGAATGTAATGCTATTTGCTTTGTTATGGGTATTAACTGCCTAGATCCAGTCCATGAACAATGGAAAAATACTTCTAATTTTCCACTTAAACATGCTTAAGAATTCTGGAATGAAATAGGATTTGAGTGATTATAAAGTTCAAGCAGAAGAATATTGAAGCATAACTGTATGAATGTCAAAAAATCCCAATTCAAAAGTTTGAAAACAATCCTGCATTGACCAAATTTACTTCTCAAATATGCAACAGGTAATTCTATACTGAAGTGGCAAGACAATTATAAGAAGAGAATTGATTTCCAACAATAGAGCACCTAATATAGAAGACAGTAAATGATCTATTTCCATGATTTCAAACTAAAAATAAACATATTATAAAGACTTTAGCCAAAACCTCGGGTATGACCAGGAGTTGTCATCACGAGCACTTTGTGGCTTGCAAACATCCATTTATCCCCATCATCCAAAGCAATATCAATCCCAGGGATACTCTCCTTGTCTAAAATTGATCCAATGACCTACAAGAATGTATAGAAGGTTGAAAGATCAGTAGAAAGATCTAAAAATTAAAATTGGGGAAAATGTAGAAGTAACTAAATATGTATATGCACTATTGCGTTGTAACATCGATTACAATGTAAATCTTAATTCCTGTTATAAAGCAAAAAAAGCAGCTTTATACGTATATTATTGTGGAAGGGATGAGATATCAGGTCCCTGACGAGTCAACCTTTTACTATCTCTTGATCAGAACACAAGTAGATCCTTTGGCCCTTAAGGAAAACCATTAAATGTGACTTTCCATTTCCCGTCCTCCAAATAGTTTCCCATCTTAGAAATTTATATACCATTGAAGCATCTTAACATGTGAAGGCAAAAAGAAATAATATGTGAGGACATTTTTAAACACCCCAAAAAGAGACATTTTAATCATGCAGATACTTGATTGTTAGCTCTAGTCATCAAGTTCACAACAATTCCACATTCTGATAGTTTCTCACCAATACGATACATAATTGCTTCCTATCGATGAGATAATGAGTTTGATTATTTGCATCTAACAGACTCAACTGGGAATGCTAATGGCAGTTAGTCACATCCCATGTAGCCCCATCAAACTTCTCAGAAGCCCCCATACCTCATCCCCAAATAATATAATCTTTAGATGCAATTGCCATCTATACATGACAGCCTCACAGTTCTCTGTGGCTTGATTTGGAGTTGTTTCTAGAATAGGACATTCAGTCTTCTTATCGAATTAATTTAACAGAGTAAATCAAATATCTTACTTTAATATCATTTTCATTTTTCACAACTAGAAACGCATTTATGAATTGGAAAGATAATACAACCTGCACTACATTTTTTTCAAAAAACGATATTCCCTTAACAGTTGTAATATTCCCTGTCTCCAAAGTCATTAACATGTGTACGAAGGCATACACGTGCATGCATTTATGTCTGTCTGGGTTCACATATGCAGAAAAGCCAGATGCTACAAAATGAGAAGTTACCGTACCTTTGCACCATACCTTTCTTTTAAGTCCATGTTGCCATTGGTGTGATCATAATGATGATGAGTGATCAGTATGTAATTCAAATTCCATTTTCTACGATCCAACACATCTATAACAGGTGCAGCTTCAGAAGGATCAACCACTCCAACTGTTCCAGTATCCTCGTCGTGTACTATATATGCATAGTTGTCTCTAAGGCATGGTACCTACAGCAAAAAAAAAAAAGACTAAGAATAACTGTACAAGTTCATCTACCTAAGCATGCACGTGTCTTTCATGACAAAGACAAGAAGGCTTATGGAACCTCCCCATCAGTTGCAGAGAATTATGCTGCATGTAAAGGATCGCCATGACAAATCATTCCCTCGGTTAACGTTCCATTCAAACTATTTAAAAAAATGCTATTTAAACTACTTTAAAATGCCATTCAAATAGCCTTTTCTCGATTGGTTGTGCCTTATGGTGTACAGTTTCACGTCCATAAATTCAAAATTTTCCCCCAGCATTTGGGTTTTTACAATTCTAAAACTTAACTGGTCAACCATAGAGCTCTTATTCATCAGAGTCTTCAACTTTTGTAGTTCTTTCCTCTAATCACTCATTTGTGTTAATGTCATTGAATAATAATATGTAGTTCCCAAACCAGCAGTTAATATTTGATTAAGCAAACTGCACTGATAAACAATGGACTACATTTCAACTCCAGCAATTCTAAAATCTAACAGTCAGAAATATATATCTTAAATGTCCATATTCACTTATATAAGCATTTAAATGATTTTCTGTAACTAAACTCTAGATTTATGAAATAAAACCATACAAAAACTATTAAATTGAAACTTCGATAGTTTTGGTCAGCTACAAGATTATAACTCTATTCCATTAGCCACAATATTTTTTATCCCCATGCCCTTCCTTCCTCAACCCACCATCTAGTTCTCTAAATGGACAGAAGCATTAAAGAATATTTTCAAATGTTTTTCGCAAATTAAAGGTTTCATGTCAAATATATTAATGTTTTTTTCTTTTTTCCATTGAGACAGAATTCAAATCATTGTTTACTGGACTACATCAGTATCATTGACACAAAAGGTAATACGTGTTTTAACCTGACACTATGTATTATTCAAATTGCCTGCTTTCTCTAAAAGAGCAATTTTCGTAGCATCCAAGAACAAGATTCTTGACAAAAGTTTAACAAGAAAGAAGGAAAACTAAGCATATAATCAAGGGTAGTAATACTGATATCCATATAATCTAACTATCATTGACTTTATAAATATCATTTCTCCACTTTTGTTTACTTGGGATTCATTAACTATCAAAAGAACACATTTAAACCGATCAGAAGTCATATAACCCATGTATATGAAAGATCAAGGGAATTGACTTTACTAGCTTTAATTTTGCATTTGCTCGAAACTGTTGGAAATCAAGATTATGACTGATCACCAATTCAATGAGCAAACTGGATGACATATTGGTATGATGCAACAACACAAAACCCATCATTGGACACAATAGTTTTTTCCCCCATGCTCCTTCTCTCTCAACTCAACATCTAGCTCTCTAATTAGTCGGTACCATCAAATTTAGTTGTAACTATTTTTGGCAAATTAAGGGTTACAAGAGCATGTAGAAAAATTCATGAGTTTGAATGAAAGTCAAGGAACACAGTTAAATCAATGTTCAAATTGATATTTACTGGACGACAACAGAAATATTATAGCAAAAAGTAAAGTGTTTTACCTTACACTATATAATATTCAAACTGCATGTCTGCATCAATCTTTCTCTAGAAGAACAATTATCATAGCATCCCAAGAAAAGATTAACAGAAAAGTTTCAAAAGAAATAAGAAAAAACTAAGAATGTCATAAAGGGTCAATGATATCTATATAGCCCATATTAGGTAGGGATTAAAATCTAGATTTTAATCTAAGTCAAAGTCAGCAAATAATTTTAACCACATATTGCATGGGACTTACAACTTTTCAACCACATATTTCATCAATTTTTATCAAAATCTACAAAAAGAAATTTAAAAAAATGATTTTACTCCACGCCAAACAGGGACATAATTTGACTGTGATCGACTTATATAAATTTGTTTCTCTAATTCAGTTAACCAGGAATGTAGCATCTTCCATAAGAATACATGTTTACACAATCGGATATTGTCTTAGGATTACCTCTTCCAATAACCCACATACATGAAAAATCAAGGAAGTACAATTTATTAACTCGAAATTTGCGTTTTCTCAAGAGTGTTGGAACTTAATATTATGACTCACCAATTCAATGCGCAAACTGGATGACATATTTGGAACGCTGCAACAACGCGAAACTCCTCCAAGACATCGACTAACTCCCCTCATGGTCTTGTATGGTATTGCTAACAACCTTATAAACTCATACATAAGGTTCTTTCTTAGGCAAAGCTTTCTCATCTCTGGCCATACACACAGCTCCAACCCCTACCAAAACAAAATCATAATAAAGGTACTGATAAAAAAATAAAGAAAGAAAGAGAGCAATATTTACACGAAAACACAAACTAAAAAACTCCTATCTCCATTAAATTCATGGATTAATCACGAGATTGAACACTTACAACAGGATTAAAGAAATATAAAATTACCTATAGAGCATATTCATACAAATATACATTATAAAAATCTTTATTTTTAAATATGTGAAGAATTATATGAAGGAAAATTCAACAAACCTTCAATCTGATAATTTTATTTCTTATTTTTTGAAGATTGAACCTGATCGTTTTGAAATTGCGAACTAAGACAATTAATGAGTACAAGTGCGAAAATCTAGCAATAAAAATATAAAATTAAAAAATGATGCCGGGGGAAATTAGCAATAAATGGGCGTGCCAAACCAGAGTAATGACATAATTACAATTGAAAGAAGAAGAACGCAAATCTTATTACAAGTAAACCACATTGAATTACAATGACGAGTCCAAATCAAAATCCAATTCTACTAAACCCAATCAAATTAATATAGATTGATGATAGAAGATCCTGATCGTGCCCATCGTTTTACATGCATTAAAATTAGTATATTAGACACCATAAATGTGCATAAATATGAAATATTTGTTCTTACGCACACAGTTATGCATATACATCTATATATAGGGAAAGGGCGGAGAGATAGAGAAACCATTGAACGAGGGTAGGAGGCCATGTCAGCTGGTGCGGTTTTACAGAAGATCATTTGAATCTTTTCTTCATTGCATTTGCTTTATTTTCTTCCTTTCTTGGACTAGTGAGAGAGAGAGAGAATCGTAGTGGAATGTGACAACGCCTGATTTTATGAGAAGGGAAAATTGTGGTTACGGTCCCTAATCTTTACAACTTTTTACATTTCTATTTTAGAGATTAATTTGTTGGTAGTATTGTCTCCTATTTATTTTTAGAGTGCACGGTTCATAGGCTCTTTAACAAAGAGTCCCATGTGACAACGCCTGATTTTATGAGAAGGGAAAATTGTGGTTACGGTCCCTAATCTTTACAACTTTTTACATTTCTATTTTAGAGATTAATTTGTTGGTAGTATTGTCTCCTATTTATTTTTAGAGTGCACGGTTCACAATGATTTTTTTCATTTAAAAGTTATATTAAGTTGTCATGTGTGTTTCGTGTGGTTAAATAGATCAACAGATGAACGTACTAATGTAATGTAAGTTCATTATTTAATTAAAAATTGATTTGAATAAATGAATGTATACGTTGTTTAAAAGTTCAATCTTCTTATTCTGGTGATTGATTTGACCATGATGGTTAACATTTATCTTTTGCCCATACTTATCTATATCAATCCTTGGATACGAAATAGCATTAACTCATTCCAACATTTCGTTACAAGTAGCGAAACGATGAGACATGAGAATCATTCTAATGTCCTAATGATGCCCTCTCTCAAAGCTCTTAATTTTTTTGGAATCTGTTTGATATGACTTTTGAAAAGTTAAAAGTGATTTTTCGATATCCAAAAGTTGCTTTTGAATTAGTTTTGACTAATTTTATGAAATTAATTCTTCCAAGTATGAGAAATTTTAGAAAAAGTTGATTTAATGTGACTTCATTTAAAAGCACTTTCGGAATAGAGAGTTCTTTTAAAATTTAGTTTACAAACAAAAATTAAAATGGATTTCTCAAAAGCTTACTACTAAAAGCAAAAGTAAATACGAAAAAGTCATGTCAAATGAGACCTTAGTATCGGTGTATGTGGAGCATACCTATTCAGGTGGGATGTTAATGTATAATCTGGTTTTCTTGTTGCAGACGCACAGATGAAACTAGTCCACTCTATGGCTCCATTGCCGATTATCCAAAGCAGGTTCGGGCTTCAAGCTGTTCCATGATTGAACCCATATCAGGTGAAAACACTGATTATTCTGTGTTTGTGGATACTAGATATCTGAACTTAATTGAAGGATATGACAAGTATGGATCTTCGTTATTCAGTTAACAAGGATTTTGTGGCAGCAACGTAAGAGAAAGCTGAAACATGCAACAGACGGGAACGAACCTTTTCACAAACTTGTGCAATGTCCCGTCAAAAGTGATGGTGCTTGCCATAATTATCTAATATCAGACCAGGTCGAACTTCAAAGAAAAAATCAAGCGAAAAGCAAAAATTTCTTGCCGAAAAAATGTCGGTTGGAAGCCTGTTTCTGACATACATGCATCACATGAAGTAACCAATTATGAGGTACTTTCGCTTTTCCTGTGTTATAATACTGGTTTGTAAGTGCTTTCTTGCTACAGTCAAGCTGATTGACAATTTTTGAGTTGTATATAATACTTGTGTTACTAATGGAACAAACATCCCATTTTTTCCCTTAAATCTTCGTTGAATATATAATTTTGTTGGAATTAATGATAAAGCCGTCTCTGAGCTCAATACGTCCTGCCATTGAAGAAAACTCGGCAGATATCCAGGACAATTTACACATTAGCGTATCACAGGAATGGATAATGCTACCTGCTCAAAGTTGATAGCTTGCAAATCTTGACTTTCTTCTCTGTTGACGGCAAAATTACGATCAACAAATTCCTCTCATGTAGCCAGGCTTTCTCCTCTTAAATTCCCTCATTTTGATGCTTAAACTGGAGTAAGAGGTGAAATGGCTATTTGGAAGGAAGATATTGAATTTTTGCATACTCTTCTTCCCTTAGGCAGAAGTATTTATAGATTTTCTTGGGGCTTTGGAGTATTCTAGAAAATGAAAGGTAGCGATCATTTAATTGGTGGGCTGATAACTAATTTTGTTATGTATTCACGTGTTTATTAAGAGGTTTGGAAGTCACGCTTTTAAATATCCACGTGTGTTGAAGCAACGATGATTCCTGCTCTCAAAGTAGATGGCTCACTTTGCCTTTTCTACGAGCCTCTTTTGCTTTAGCTTCCTTTGCAACCTCCTCCTAGGCAAAAGCGAGCCGCTTTTGCTTTAGCTACGTTCGCAACCTTGAGTTCGAAGAACATTCTCCATTGTCAAGAATGTCATTTGCCCTCCAAAGACAACTGGAGCTGAAGTGAAACCTCCAGGAGAAGATGGCCAGAATGAATGAAGAATTTGACCAATTAAGATAATTAGTAAGGGATTTGTCGAATATATTCTAAAATATATATGTTGGCTTAATTTGAAGAGGGAAAGCAGACATAATGGCTCGAAATAAAGTTGTACTTACTAGTTTCTGCCATCAACTATAATAATCTGTATCTATACATCTCGATTTTGCTGAGCAATCAAAGCTTGCAATGTACTTTCTTTGGGGTCTTTCTTCAGCTCTACCCATCAATTATTGTTATACATTTTTAATTATTCTTTTTCTCATAATTATGTCAACCTAAAAGCCTGCATTTTCAGTCATTCGTCTCGTGGATTCTTGAGTGCAGTCTTTCCCCCTACGTACCCAAAGCTTCAAGCTTTCAATACGGATTCTTCAATATTCGAGTTTTCTCAGTTTTGGCCTTTGGGCAATGTCGTTTTGGTAATAAAATGAAGTAGGTTTACATGACAAGATGTGTCTCTTAGGTTTAAAGGTACTTTTGGGCACTTTCTTTTCAAGTCAAGTTTTAATTTTTAAGGTTGAATTCTACCCAAAGTGGTTGTTAGACACCTTGTCGTGGACGGGGTGACCTAAGGTCTTTGTATCTTTCAATTTCATAAACCATTATCAAAATCCCCAAGAAATTGACATATTGATCTTCTATGTTCATTTTCCTTGTGATTTACACGAATTTTTTGAGCCCTATCCACTCTAGAAAAGCGTTAGTGACTCTTCACAAGATCTTTTCATATAGAAAATCTTGAAACTTTGCATCTGGGGTTTTCACAAAGTGATGCTTAAAGAATCACAATTCACAGAAGAATGGCTAGTTTGGTCACTGAGGTTCTTCTAAAACTACATCAGCACATGAACACAGATTCCTCACATGCTACTTATGTATCTCTTGCTGATGAACATTAATTTTTAGTGATAAGATCCAATAGCTCAGTTTAGCATGCTGAAAGGCTTGGGGTGCCTCACCTGTACTGTTCTTAGATGGGTTTGGCTAGTTCCAGCTCGACACCCCTGCATTGGAACTCCTGAAGATACAGTAAACTCATTCTCTAGGATTCCTCAGTGGCAATGCTATTTCATAATATGTTAACAAAACCAGTCACCTTCAAAGTTGTTTAACAAAAATGGGGATATAATATGTTTAATCTACGCCGTTGAAATTGAATCGTAGTTCTAAAGAAGATTAAGTCGATAAGACCCTTGAATTGACTCGACCCTTGAATTGACTCAATCCAAGTCTCAGTTGTTAAAGGATGAGTTAATCTTGCCAAACAGAGCATAAATCAAATAGAAAAGGGGCACTGTAATTTTAAATTTCTCAGGGAAAAAGTGTTAAATCAACAAAGATAAAGCAAATCTTCAACTTCCCTTACAATGCCACTTCATATCAATAAAGCCTATTCTATAACCTCAAACCACTATAAGTTATATATACACCAATTTTAAAGTTATGAGCTCCTTTAACCATCACTTACATTTTCTGGATATCACTTTCTTACTTTGCTTTCCGTTACCGTTACCGGAGATGTTTGTGAGCTACTACCAAGAGCTGCTGCAGCAGATTCTACATGAGTAAGAAGATACTCGTAAATCTTCTTTCGTATTCTGTCGATTGTTTCCGCCGAGATACGAGGGGTTTCTTCATCCTTCGAAGACCCAATTTCATCTAACCAGTCGTTCACACTCTTGAGCTGACTTAACATGCCAGCTATTTGACCATTATCTGATAAAGCTGAGGTGTCCACATCAGCATCTAAGAATCTTTCCACGAAACCTAAGAACCAATCTTCAGACTCCAACCTCAACATATTTGCCAAGTCCACAACCTCATCAAGACCATCTCCTTTAACCCACTCAATCGGAGGTGAGGCTTTTGTGTTGTGACCAACAGCCAATCCACCATTTACCCTACTAGGAGTTCCTGACGAGTGATTCCTGGAGTTTGCTGCCTGCCGCGGTTTGGCCATTGACGCTGTGCTTTTAGTAGATTTCTCAAGAACTAAAACCGGTTGATGAATTGGAATTGTCTTCGGGCTTGGAGCCAGAGTTGATGCTGCAACCGGGCTTGAGGTGCCCGGTTTGCTATATAGTGTGAAGGATGACAAATTGGTAGCCAATGCAGCATGGACCCAAGACGAAGCCCGTTTACACCTATCTAATGTGACTTTCGACACTTCTTCTGACGGATCTTCTTCATTTTGTGAAGAGTCAAATGTAATAGCTTTCGATAAAGAATCAGCAACTACACGAGCATTAGTCAAGCTGGCATGCAGGACCAAGAACTGCTCAACAGCGGGCTGTGGGTTATCTTCTTTTGCAGACGAGCTCAACTCAGCATATGTGCTGTTGCACAAAAAGATAATCTATTAGCAAAGGCCAGAACGAAATAAGCTTAAAAAGTATATATTTTGACCAATCTGAGGTGAAAATGGATTATGACAGAGAAAAATACCTATTCAAGTATATATGGTTTTCAGACAAGCTCGACTCAATATAGATCTCAAAACATTTTTACGATTAGGCTTCATTATGCAGTAGCTGAAAGAAAAAATCATGGAAAACATTTTTCATCAACCAGTTTCCCATTGATGATATTCTTTTTAGAACATGACAGTTATAAAAGAAACATAATGTTAAGGGCTAGCCAAAACCAGGTTCAGAGGACATAAAATACAGTCTGGTTTTAGTTGAACTTAACCTAGGAACTATTGAAAAAGTACAAAACTATCTCAACTCAGTGCTGGATTGAATCTGGCTTCATTATAAAACCCAATAGAGAGGGGTCAGTATTTGGTGGAATTTTCTACCAACTATTTTTTCATGAGTGTGTCACATAAAGGGAAAAAGAAAAGAAAAAAGGAGAGAGATCATAAAACCACTAAAATTTGAACATAATTTAATTGAAGAAACTTCCGTTCCGAAATTGGATCAATTAAAACTTCCAAAAAAGGCAAGAACAAGTTTGACTTGAAATGAGTGGCACGTTGTAAAGGGAAAAAGAAAAGAAAAAAGGAGAGAGAGCATAAAACCACTAAAATTTGAACATAATTTAATTGAAGAAACTTCTTTTCTGAAATTGGATCAATTAAAACTTCCAAAAAGGCACGAACAAGTTTGACTTAAAATGAGTGGCACATTGAGTTTCCCAAACAGGTCACTAAAGATAAATGACCAAACTTTAATTCTGGCCTTTTATCAATAAGGTTGTCATTGTAAGGTCTGGCTACTCAAATAGCTCAGTTTATCCTTCACATAACATCAAAACTAACTATTCATCCAAGTGCCCTCAAACTTCTTGACCCACCGGAACCTCAAATCAAAATATTAAAGCTACACGGCCATGTAGCCTTTGAGTTGGTAAATATGTTTTAATTTGAATGCTTATACACCACTATATGCCTGAGCTTCTCTCTGCTGGAGGTTCTAATATTTATCTCAACCAAAAAGATTATAATTATCTCCATGTCATCAATTTCCACCCAACATATAAAATAAATGGTTCTTAAAATCAGTACGTTGCACTTACATGCTACCCTCCCACCCCCCAAAATCTCGCTTCTCCCCCTAAATAAATAAGTTAAAACATAAAATCCTAGGCATCAAAATTAAGAACATATGAGAAGAGTTATTCTGAGATTCAGTTTAGCTCACATGTTGATCAGGAAGGTCTTGTTATGTGATTACATCTTTATTAATTTATTTCTTGCTACCTGTTAACCCTTGAAGTACAGTCCGCGAACCCAGCTAGCTGTTGGCGAAATGCAAAGTGACACGTGAGAAGAACGAATAAAAAGAAGGTTCATCCAAAGATTGTGAACCATTTTCCATATCCAAGCTGTTAACACAGCCATAAAGCATGCCATTTGTAACTAAATCAGTCACAAAGCAACAAACAAGGAGCTGCCATATATCATTTTCTCATAATGACCATACTACCCTAAGGCTCCGGGAAAAATCTACAATTCAAATATCTCCTTCTCGAATAACTATTTTAATTCTTGCTTCTGTTTGAACATCCAAATTAGTGAGTTGTGAAAATTGTAGCTAAGTGAGTAGAATTTGTTGATCTGATATTCATCGTCAACTCTACCATTGACAATTGCAAATCAGACACTTAAATTAATTTTTTTCTGAAATTTTCTATTACAAGTTTTTTAGATTGTATACATTTTATTGTGAGTGCAACTATGAATTTTTATAATTCTAAAATATTTTATTATTGTCTTTTAGAAATATAAATCTCAATGGGCCTCGAGGCTTGCAATCACCCCACATAGGCAATGGAACCCAATCTACCCTTTTCAAAAAGGGCTCAAAATCTTACAAGAAGCTATGATAGTGTTGACTGCAATTTTCGTAAAGGCTATGTGGCCAACGGATAAATACTACACGTAGATAATTTGATGCACACGACAGCAAACCGTTAGTTACTCGTGGCCTTCTCCGGTGGTGGTGGAGGCGACCGCAGCACTCCGAAGGTCTAAGTTAGTTAACGTCGAAGGAGAAAGGAGTAATGTACTTGATTCAAGGATAATAAGGCAAATGGCATATTTTAGTGTAGAATTGCATTACCTTTCAAATGGTACTGCGTGGGGTATTTATAGGGGAAGAGGTGGATTTAAGACTGTTGGATGGAGGAACACGTGGCCTCATCTACCGGACAAGGCGTCCTCTCCTAGGCATCAATCAATAAGTCCATAGGTTGGCGAGCATTTAATACCCCTAATGAGTAGATTTGGCGATGTGACTTACAGCAGATCCCACATCAATCAATGAGGTGGATCTTATTTTGGCTAAATCTTTGTACAAAAGATTCCCTATTTAATGCGAACGAGGCGATGCGATAGTGTTCCAGTAGCGTCGCTCCCTACCATTGTCTTCCGAGGTTTATAACCTCGGAGCCTCGGTTTCACAGACGTAAATAAGGACCATACCACCTTGACAATTCAGTAACAGACACGTAGGATGTGGACCCACCTATTTGCATAGCTGGTAGCCATGTAGGTGCCGATCTGGAGCCTCTCCGTAACAAGTGTAACAGATAGTATAACCACTTGGTGGCTAGTCAAAGATAAAATTGCTTATGAAGTTTAGATGGACAATTTGATCATAAATCACCAACCTATGAAAAAATAACTCTTAAGGATCTTTCACCTGAAAGGCAAACTTCTTTCTACCAGTAACAATAAGTTTAAACAAGAACATAAAGGTTGTCTAAAGAAAGAATATAAATAAGAAATTTGTAACCAACACAAAGTGAAAATGAAAAAATATCCAGCATGCTACTTCAGACTGACAAAAGAACCTTCACCAGCCTTAAGAAAATCTACTGTTTTAGCAAGTGATGTCATATTGTAGTTACCCAGAGTTTGTTAGTGTTTTCTACCCCAATTTGCGTTGCCACAAACTAAAACAGAAACAAATGAGAAGAGGAACACAGGGTTAAAGTATTGAGCATATAAACATTCAATCGGGAACTATGCAAAAGATTTTTGACAGCTGAAATGCATACAGATGTCTCTGATTGCCTATCATGATCTACGAAGAAAAAATCCCGCTCTGTAGGATTTGAACCTACGACATCGGGTTTTGGAGATGTCAAGTCACGTTCTTCTTTCATTTTGCAGACTGTACAGTAGGAAAAGGATGGGGAAGGGGGATGTTAATCTCTTTGTTCCCTTTATTTGTGATGCAGAAATATTTCATTAAATCCTAATTCATTGCACCAATGTAACTCTTTCAGCCTAAAATATAGAGTTTGGGACGAGATCTGGACAGTTTATCCGTCTCATGGTGTCTTTCACACACACAAACATTTTCATATTTACATGTTTGGCTGCCTTTTACCTATTGTATTAAGCTATCAAATTATAGCTTTTACTGGATTAAGATCCATAGTATGCCATTGCAGCTCCAAATTTCCAAGGGAACTTTTCCTCTGTCTCATAACAGCTAATATGACACTTCAACTACTAATACCCTCAGGAAGTGCAGAATAATCGCGGTTAATCTGGTGAAGAGTTTCAACCACTTACTTTTCCCTGAAAATTGGACTTTGACCGATGGAATCTGGTTTTGAATACTTCAGGAGCTAAATTGAATTATAGGAAATGCTTGATTGGAGGAAGTGATATGGAAGCATATAAGGAAAGGTTATAAGAAATTTAAGTCTGATAATGGGAACTCTTCCTCGTATGAGAGCAAACAACAAAAAAGTGGAGGTCATATATGAGAACTGGAATATGCATTTTTCATCTAGGTTCTTTATCTTACGAAATGCTGCCAAGAACTCAATACCAGTTGATAACCAGTAGTAAGGCCCTAAAATGATTTATATAAAAAGGAAATCAACAACTTTTTGTGATTTCACTTTCAAGATAATACCTTAGACATTGAAGTAAACTTTCTGCGGCGGAAGCCTCTTGCATTGCTTCCATGGCAGCCATTTGCGCAGCATCTCTGTGCTTCAAGATGTTCTGTAGATTCAGGAAAGAGAGCTTTCCAATAAGAAATCTCACAAGTTCACATTCAGGGAAGTTAATGTATCAAATATATCGAGAAACATATAGTAAATGGAATGATAAATGGAATAAGACAACAAGAATGACATCCAGATGAATATTCCTTGCAATAAAAAAAAGACTTCTCAGTTCTAAAGTAACTCCATCTCTCCTCTCTCTTATTTCAATATGTAAATCATCAATCAATGTTAATTCAGATACATTGACACGTTAGTTTAGAAGATAGCATTGTCATAACTTCACTGAAAGAAAGAATAGAGAAAATCATGATTAGCTATCCCATTTATTGTATATCATTTAAGCAGCAAATTTTTCACTGGGGGAGTTCAACTATCGGAAATTCTAAACAAATTAAAAGTGTAGTTTTGAGTCAAATAGATGGGATGAGGCTCCAAGGTTCCCAACAAGGCAGGCTAAAAGAAATTGAATAGAAAAATTCTGTACCTTCCCAAGCTTTACAACTGATGATGGGAGTGAGGCACATGAAATAGTTCCATCTGTTAATCTACTTTTGCTGAGAGAAACCTTTACTAAATTGCCTGGGAACCCATGATTAGCAGACTCTCCAGACTTTTTCCCAGGAGAAGCTCTCTGGGTAGTATACTTATTAGTATCCGTCAAATCTGCTTTTGTAGAAGCTTTCTTTAAAGATGCATTAACTTTATTTTCTTCCCGGGATGTTTTTGAAGACTCAACCTTACTCTCTTCTTTAGATGGCAACCTTTCACTTGTTGATTTCCTTGGTACCTGCAACATGTAGAGCAATCAGGTGGAGAAGCCAGAATTATTATCCAGAATCCCAAATATTAGTTGGCATGCCATAATACTCTTCAGAAAAAGGGGAAAAAATGAAATAAAAGCAGAGGCGAAGCAAAACAGGACCTCACTAGATAATTCAATAATAAAAAATTAACATGGGCAAACTAGACCAATGAATAATAGAAATACATCTAAACAGCAAGCCAGTTAAATTTCAGTGAATGGGATGGAAAGCCAAAAACAGATAACCCACTACTCAGTTTAGCCAAAACATTCAAAAATTTTAGTCAGATTTCATCATACCAGTATACCATCATCAAATTTATACATCTAAATACAACTGAACTAAGGCCATCAACACAAATTGCAATTATTTCCTATTCTTTTTTCTTCCTTCTAAGTAAGGCATTATCATTCGATATTGGCAAACTATAAACAAAAGATTTACTAAAAGATCAAAAAAAACTTACGGAAGTACTCCGCACTTCTGGCTTCTGGATATGCTTATTGACCTTCACTCTGGGACTTTCCCTACCCTTGATATCCATATTCCCTTCCCAACTCTTTCTTAGAGCCTTTGGCCCCAATTCAAGACCTTGAACAATATTCTTCATCACACTCCCACTTGGCATCTTCTTTGTGGTCGAACTTGTACCACGAACAGAATTTGCCTTTTCCCCTAACCCCACTTTAGCAGTTAACTTTTCCAACCTTTCCAGCCCCTTGATCTTTCCCTGCTGTTTAATCCCATTTGCAAACTTCTCAAAAGAAGTAGGCAATGAATAACAACTCGTAGGTGACGAGGGTATAGACCTTGAACTTGAAGAATTCAATTTTCCTTCAGAATCCTTTTTCCCATCCAATGTGATGGATAGCTTTGACAACTGAGACTTGGATCGAGTCAATCCAGGCATCTTTTTATCGACTTTATCATCTCTAATGCTATGAGTTAATTTCAAAGGCGTAGATTTAACATCTTTCGCCCCAGCATTCATCAACAGCTTTGAAGATGACTTGGTTTTGTTAACCGATTTGGAACCCAAAGATGAATTACCATTGCCATTGAGGAATCCTAGAGAATGAGTTGCAACTATATCTTCAGGAGTTCCAATGCAGGGGTGTCGACCCGGAACAAGCCTAACCCCTCTAAGTATAGGTACAGGTGAGGCAGCCTCAAGCCTCTCAACATGTATAAACTGACCCAATTGGATCTTGTCACTAAGAATTAGATCATCATGTTCATCAGGAAGAGATACGTAAGTAGCATGGGAGGAATCTGATACCTTTAGGTAAAACCCTTGATTTGGAAAGAGTTCACCCCCAGCTAAAGCTGGAACAATGCTAACTACTTGCAATAGAGATGATCTGTGCTCCCCAGCAACCTTCACATCTGTATTCATGTGTTGAAGTAGCTTCAAAAGAACCCCAGGAACCAAACTTGCCATTCTCCTGTGACTCTTTATGCATCAAAACTTTGAGAAAACCCCGGATACAATTTTCAAGATTTTCTATCTGGCTAACAAATCTTACAGAAAGTCACTAATACAGTTCTAATGTGAATAGGGCTCACAAAAAATTCGTACAAAACACAAGAAAGGTGAAGGAAAAAGATCAAAACGTCAATATCTTGGGCTTTAGATAATTGCTTACGAATTCAGAGAAACAAATTAGAAGTGAAAATTGACCCTTCATTGTTTTATTACCTAAAGGGCATTGCCCAAAATAGAAAAGAATGCAATTGTCAAGAATCTGAACTGAAAGATTGACAATTGAAACCAAGAATCCACAAGAGGCAGGAACGAAAATGCAGAAATTATCTGTAGTAAGATCCAAATTGTAAAAAATAATAAATTAAAAAATGTGGAAATAATTGACGAGTACAGCTGAAGAAAAACCGAAGAGAAAGTACGCTGTAAGCATTGATTGCTCAGCTAAATTCAGATGCATAAAAGTGAAACTTCTTGATGGAAATTATTATGCAGTTACAAGTCAGTGGGGGAAATAGAGAGAGAGAGCGAGCGAGAGGCAAGTGTCCAAAAATTGAGTTCCTCAATCCTCAACATGGAAGGCTCCTGAATTGGATACAATTAGAAGATTATTTTTCTGGCAACTGATTACAATTTGATGGCAGGGAGTACATAGAAGCCCACTGCATCATTGAATGCAAACATGGAACTGGCCCCATCATAGTTCTTCACACCTTTTTATTATTATTTATTATTATTATTATTATAGCCTCAAAAATTATAAATAAGATATCTTGTGATGTTTGAATAGTAGATTGATGGAGAATATTTGAATAAAAAAAAAAAAGAAAAATTTTGAATTTACGTCTAATATTATTTTATTGAAAAATATGTAATTGAAAAGAAAAAAGAAAAATATATTTTAGGAATAATGACAATCAAACATGAGCATAGGGCCCAACTCTTCTTTTCTTTGATGTCAAGACAATAATTAATGGGCCATTTACAAAAATACACATAAAATTAGGGATCTTTTGATAAAGCATATGAAAAGTATTTTGAAAGTAAAAAATACTGTGTAAAATTAAGTATTATTTTTTATTATTAAAAAGTGTCACGATGTCATTGTCTGAGTTAAGTGCCCCTTTTCACTTTTATTAAGGGCGTGTTTGGTCGTGCTTAAAATCAGATTAAAATTGAAAATATAGTCGTTATTGGGTTTCACTCGTCTAATAAAAGTCAACAATAAGAGATAGTTTTTCAATTTTAATCCGATTTTAATATCTACAGAACACGCCTAAAATGTTTGTCACTCAAAAAGTGACAAATAGTTCAAGAAAATGACAAAAATAAAAAATACTGTATAAAGTTACGTGACGCAATATCATTTTTTTAAGTTAAGTGACATACAATGTCATTTTTATTAAAAATGATGTTTGCTACTAAAAAAAAGTAATAGAGATTTCAAGAAAGTAATAAAAATTTCAAGAAAGTGACAGAAAAAAATGACAAATACTGAAAAAGTAACAAAAACTAAAAGATGTGACACAAATTTTAAAAAGTTCAAAAAAGTCTTCTCATGATGATACCCACATAAAGTAGTAGGCAATGCAATTCGAATGTCTTCTCTTGATGATACTTGCATAAAACTATACGAATTCAACATGCTCCCAAGTGAATTGTAAGTACCACCATGAAGAGTCAACTGGAATAGCCCAAGAGTCGACACATCTACAATAAACACAAAAATGGCACACCTTTGCTACAATCATATAGGCAATAATTCATATTAATAGAACAAGAAAAAAATCCATAGAAATCAGAAAATCAATAAAGAATCTAACTTCCCACAAAAATAGGAACTTGTTTAGTATAAAAGTCATATAAACTTCTAACATAAGACCTCAAAGATTTCAATAGAACTCGAAAAACAAAAAAAAATTTCCCCACCACTCCAAATTTCTTCTAAACAATGGCATTGGCAGCACTAAAAGGCCAAAGATCAGCACACTCCTTTCCAATTGGACTAGTTATGGTAGAACCTGCGAACACGGAAGTGACCAAATAAATGACAAGAAACATAGACAAAACTCAAATTTCAAATGAAGCATGCCTTCGGAAGAAAGAAACACAGCAATTTACTATCTATTGTTAAAAATTGAATATTACCATTCATCTCACCTTTCGAATTCATGATAACACTAGCATTATCAGCAAGCCAGATAAAAACGATTAGGGCTTCAGTACATGCAATTGTCTCTCTAACATTCTTAGATATTGTCTAGGGCAACAGAGATAGAAGAAAAGTTTGATATAAAAAATGAACGGCGTTGGTGCTAGCAAAGATTAAGAATGAGAATGAGACTTATGGTCTAAAGCAACAGAGACAAAATAAAAGTTACAAGAGGCAAAGATGGTGGAGAAATGGTTGTGTAGTTTGATCAATTGGGGATTTTATTAATGTATTAAATACAATTCTGAGAGGTTTTATTTTGTTTTAAGGTATTAATCTTTTTTTTTTTTTTTTAGAGCTGTGGGTTTAATTTTCCCTTAATTATAAATAATAGTAGGCCTTTCAAAGAGGGTAAAGGGCTAGTTGAGTGGATTTAATAAAGGGAAAATTTCATTTCCAAGAGATTTTCACCTTTTTTTTTTTTTTAGATTATCACCTATTTCAAAACTAAGAAAACAACTTTCAAATTTCAAAAATCAAATTTTTTTAAATTTTTATTTATGAAATAATAAATTATTAAATCAATTTATTATTAATTATTTAATTCTAATATAATATAATTAAAACACCCCACCTTCACCACCCACACCCCTCCGGCGACCGTTTCGGTCACCACTCTACTCCTGCGAGCTTTCCGGCGACTGTTTCGACAACTTTTTCGGTGAACTTTCAGGCAACTGTCCGAAAAACTTTTTCGATGACTTCCCGACGAACTTTCCGCGACTTTACCGGTGACATTTTCGATTCCGACAATTATTTATTTTATTAATTAAATATAATGAAATTACAATTATACAATTAATGGTCACAAATACATAATTAATTGGTCACAGATTATTTTTGAGGTCACAATTCAAAAAAATATAGGTCGCGATTTTTTTATTGGCCACGGATCAAAAATTTTGTAAGTCACAGACTATTTTGAGGGCACAAATCATGTCAAATATTATTTTATTGGTCACGGATCAAAAAATTACAGGTCACAGTTATCTATCAATCACATATTTTCAAATTTATCGATGACAAATTAATTTTTAGTCACAATTTTAAGGTCACACTTAGATTTTTTGTGACCACCACCGATTTCTGTGACCACCCCCGTAACCACCACCGTCGTTGTCGCCAGAACCAACAGCACCACCCCCGTAACATCCACCAACTTTTGTGACCACCACCTTACCACTACCACATGTCACATCACCGCGCTGCCACCACAACTAACAACGTCACCACCAAAAATCCGGCAGCACACCGCTACCACCTCACGATCTGAAAACCACAAACAGAAGGAAAAAAAAACCAAATATCTGGCACCACACCACCACCACAAAACCGCCCCTACCACCGCCAAACCTCCCCCAACACATCACCACGCCCGCAACACATCACCATGCCACAGTTCACAACCCATAACACACCACCACCATATCCTCCATCTCCGTGTACACCACTGACTACACAGCCACCACATAGCTTTCGGATCCTGTCGAGGCAGAGATCAATAATCTCTTTGCCAATGGTGTAAAGCCCTCTAGCAAAGTTGTTGGCAGCGTCGTCCTTGCCAGTGAGCAGCTGTTCCAGGTGAAATATCTGGCGGTATGTCCCGGTACGGACCTCATCTATCACAGTAGTCTACAGATCCACGAACACGGCGTAGGGAACGTGCTTTCCAGCACCGATTTCGCTAAAGAATGTGTTGATCTCCACCACGGCTGTTTTGTCTCTGGGATTTCTCTTGCTTTTTTTTTGCGTGAAACTGAAATTAGAAAGAGGTGTAGAGAAGTGTAGATCTGCCTCTGATTCGATCGGGAGAAGACGCCGCTGCTTGGCGGTAGAGGTAAGTTACCGGTGACTGTGCATCACCGATGAAGGTCGCAGGACAGAGAGGAGAGAAGGACGAGGACGGATGTGGGAGAAAGGTAGAGAGAGAGGGGGGGATAGTAGGAATTAATTAGGGTTGGGGATTGTTTAGTAAATATATTTATTTTATAAAAATATAAATTAATAAAAAAAATCTGATTTTAGAAATATGAAACTTCTAATCTGATTTTATAATATTGGATACTTAAACTAGTGTTTTGTGTAATTTCCACTTTAATAAAATTACAAAAAAAAAAATGCAAAATCTAATTTCAGGTTTTACTACAACTCGTCTATTAATATATTAAGGTTTATTTGTTAAACTTTTAGATTAGGCCCATATTCAATCCCCATTTAAATTTTTTTTTTTTCAAATGCATTTTGAGCTACACGTTTGGATCCACAACTTTTTCCAAATTTTTTATTACACATTTTATCAATTTTTTTATCAAAATTCTAATTTTTATCAAAATCAAACAGGAGCTGAATAATACATTAATAGATCATATGAGTTTACGATAGGCATAAGAGAGAGAGGGGAGGCATATGTATGTGAATCTTGTAAGAGATGATTATTGGTTATTTGACAAAAGTTATGATAAAAGTTATAGCATATTTTAATAAAAGTTGATGAAATATATGGTTAAAAAGTTAATAAAGTTGTGTATCCTATAAAATGTGTAATTAAAATTGAAATTTGATATGTTTATAATTGATCAAATTTTCGCAAAATTTTAACAGACAATAACTATATGTGCCCTTGTTTGGGCTGCATTAAATCAAAATACATTTTTACTTACACATTTTTTAATAAAATAATATTATATGTAAACTCAAATTTTTTCTTACTTTTTAACTACGTTTTCCTTAAAAATTATTATTTCAA